AACGGGGGCACGGAAGAAAGGATCCCTGCCGGCTAGAGGGGAAGCCATTTTCCATGTTCCTTAAGGAAGAGAACCTGGAAACCCATCCTAGAACTTCGTGCTTAAGATTCTGTGTAGTCGTTTATGTATCCTAACTCCTTCCCTGATTAGGGTTATGGGTTGAGAGAACTCTCAACAAATCCTCTTTCCATCTTTTAAGTTATGGAGTTAAGAGAAAACTCCCATGGAATGACGAAATATCCCTGCCTGATCCTTGGTGTCAAGATTCTGTGGCTCAGTCTGGACAAAACCACTTAAACTGCCTCCTTACAGATCCGAGCAGCCCACACTTTAGCTAATGAGGTGATCTGCTTATGTTTCTAGTAAAAGGACAGTGGAAAAGAAGCACCCTAATTTTTTTTCTCTTTAGCTAAAAGTAGAGCCATCTGAATACGCAGTATGAGTCAACATACGATATACATAATAAAATATGATAAATGTTCTCAGGACCTCAGGCTTCCCTGGTGGCACAGTGGTTAAGAATCCGCCTGCCAGTGCAGGGGACACGGGTTCGAGCCCTGGTCTGGGAAGCTCCCACATGCCGCAGGGCAACTAAGCCTGTGCACCACAACTACTGAGCCTGTGCTCTAGAGCCTGAAAGCCACAACTACTGAGCCCTCGCACCTAGAGCCCGTGCTCCACAACAAGAGAAGCCACAGCAATGAGAAGCCCGCGCACTGCAATGAAGAGTAGCCTCCGCTTGCCGCAGCTAGAGAAAGCTGCACACAGCAACAAAGAACCAAAGTAGCCAAAAAATAAATAAAATAAATAAAGTTATTTTTAAAAAATGTTCTCAGGACCTCAAAATTTCTCCATTGAAGCATCTTGCTTAATAAAAAAAATTAAAGTATGTGCACATACATGGATCTAGAGACAAGTCTTTTTAGGAAGAATGAAATATTTCAAGTAGTGTTGTAGATAGAATTGACCCTAATAAAATGTGTGTAATAGATGGAGATTAGCCTCTTTCTACTTCATGTTATAGCACTTTTTTTCTCTAGCAGACCCAGAGTTTCTGGAGTTTAGAACCCAGCTCTCAAGTACTCTCAGCTACCCTCTAGCCATATTACAAATAAAATTAAAATTCCCCAACCCTAATAATGGTGCAAGATTTTGTTCTTCCTAGTGATGATTAGATTTCAGTAATAAAATGTTAAAGATTCAGAGTGTTTAAGACCCAAAAGAATGGTGTAATTCTATGCCTCATGGAGATTTTTAGTTATAAACTTACCCTGGTCCTCCACAAAACATAGAAATCTAGAGTTGGTATTTGAAAAGGAATTGAGACTTTTGTCTGGGGAACGGAGAGGAGTTTTCAAGAAGAATATAGAGCATATGGAAGGGCACGAAAGGGTGAGATGGTCTGTGCTAATGGGAGAATGCCACATAGAGACTGAGGTGTGGGGAAGCATGGGAAGAATGGAGGGAGATGAAGCTGGAGTATGAAGTCTGGTTCTAAGAGCACAGGGCCTGGAAAGCCATGCTAATTTAGAAAGTGAGCAGCCAATAAACATTGAGCAGCAAAAGGGAAAGGAGGAGGAAAAAACACACACATACACATGCTAGGAGGTGACTTAACATATCAATTCATAAAATACTAATTAGAACAATTCCATGTGATTGGTACTGTTTTCCTCATTTATGCAGGTAAATAATCTGAGGTTCAGAAAAGTTCAGTTTAGCAAGCATGGTATAATCCCTTACCTCCAGATGCCTGTAATCGTGTCCAAGATTGTATATCTAGGAAATGGTAAGACCAGCTCTCTGTGAGGGAAGTACTATTATAATCTCCATTTTAAAGAGGAGTAAATGGAGATTCAGGGAGGTTAAGTAACCTGCCTAGGGTTACACAGCTAAAAAATGGCAGAGCAAGGGTTTAAATCCAACAGTCTAGCCTTAGATAGTCTGTTTTATACTCTGCTTCTTGATCCAGTGTTGTTTCCTGCTTTTCCCCCCTTGATAGAAAAGTAGGGAACATAAGAATTCATTGGTTCTGTTTTCTCCCTTTAATATTTGACTTTCCATTGCCTTCCCCAAGCAGTGGCTCATTATTTTCTTGTTCTTAAAATAGCTAAAATCACCTAAACAGCAAGAGCCTTGGCATGTTCTGTGTTCTAGGCTTTGAGAAACTGTCTTTAGATGTTCTCTTTTAGCACTCGCCTTGGATAGAAGGCCTCTAAGTTTACTGAAAATCTTGCTGTGCATAGACGTTTTTTGTTTGTTTCATTCATTTGTTTAGAGGTCATCACTTGAGCATCTTCTAGATTCTAGAACCTGCGGGAGGTGCAGGAGATAAAGCAGTGAGCAAAACGGAAAGTTTCTCCTCCCTTCCCCATTGGTATAAAGTTGTTTTCAGGTGTTGAGGACTGGAGGAGGCAAGACCAGCCATGGCCTGACTGACGGGTCCATAAATCAGATTCTTTGCCCATGACCAGGGCACAGATGGCAACATTGCTCTGCCTCTCAGCTCTCCTCTGAATCTGTTTCAGCTGTCTTTCTACTTGGTGATACTTTTTCCTCTTTGGAGAATTTTGTGATTTATCATCCCAATATTAATTGTACTTCTTAGTCATCTTAAAACGTTCTGTTTTTCGATCTCTGGTCCTAGCCTTTCTTTTCAATAGACTTTTCCCTCCGCACCCCCCCAATGTGTTTTCCAGCAAACATTTGAAGTCTGATGATTCTCTGCATTCTCGTCCTTCATTGTAGAGAAATTTAAGATGACGTGATCATTTCCACTTCATTAAACACTTCTTTGTTGGTCAGAAGCAAGTCTAGAGAAAAAAATCGCATTCCT